GCACACCCATGCAGAAATCAGGTTAAAATCGAATAATTTTGTGAAAATAAACTACAAGTATCAGTACTTTTGCAATAGAAGGCCTATTCACCCTTTCGAGCCTTTGAGTATCAATACCCATGACTTAAGGTATTGATACTTTTCATCCAAAATGTTCCAAGTTTTCCACATATAGATACATTGAACATAGAACACTCTTGAAGCTCATTCTACTAAGCAAGTATCGATACCTCATTCATTAGCATCCATACCTCGTTCATAAAATCTCAAATTTCTTACATTTTCCAATAGCCAAAATTCCCCGAAGTTACCTCAGCTTAAAACCAAACATTTCGACGTAACATTTCATTTTGAATAAGCATACTTAGTGCATTTCAATACTAAAACACTTTCAAATCATAACTTCCAAAATCAAGTCAAAACATATCAAATCTACTCGACTTGCACTAAGTATCACATTTAACACTAGTGGGGCATACTTAAGAACTACATAATAGGTCTAAGAGACTCTAACCTAAGGGATAGTGCCATTCCACCCCCACAATCTAGGGCGATACAAGCGTAGCTAACCCACAATATAATCATATATAGTCAAGTGCGTGGTTAAGTGATACTTAAGTTGAAACCAGTTTTAAAAATTATGTGATACTTAAGTTCTGATTTTGAGGTGAGTGGCTAATTATAGTTAACCGTGAGATTTGTTGGCTTCATCGTTTGGTTTGAGTGTTTCATTGACGTATCCTAATGTTATTCGTTGTCTTTGAAAGTTGTTAAAGTTATAACTTTTTCATTTGACTTATAAAAGATATGTGCTTTGTTCTGTTCATTAGTCATCATAGTAACTTTTGAGTTATAAAGGATATTTGTTAATTTGGTTTTATTATTCTCCATTGCATTCATTACCTTTTACTAAAATCTATCAATTTGGTATGGATTTGGCATTTAAGTTTGAATTAGAGTCTTTACAACATACATTTAGTGTGCTGAAATGATCCCAAAAGCTTAGTTATCTATGAAGCTTATCAAATTAACTCTTTTTACGTTGCTTTTAGCATCGTCACTAGTATTTAGAGCAACTCTGTTAAGCCTTGGTTCAATGTAGTTTTCTTTGATTTTGTCTAAAAGATGATTCATCTAATAAAATCACCAGAGCTGTGTTTTAAAGCAAAAATGGTACTGAACCTGTTAATAAATATGTGTTGTTTTAAAATATATTAAGAGCATTTTAACAATATTTGATCTACTATGATATTATAAGCCATATTTTGAACTCTTGTGAAACAAATATTCTATAAAGTAGACTTTTGAACTACTTGTATGTAGATTCAAAAACACATTAATAGAATTTAACATATAAACCAAGAATGAAATATGGAAATGATATATGATTAGCCTTTAGGCATTTTGAATATGGTCAATTATGGTAATATGAAAATATGACTTTTGACCCTTTTCAAAACATTAGTAAATCCTATATTCGATGTGCCTTTTAAATTTGACCCATTTGATTCATGGACCGGAGTTTAGGCGCAGCTAGTGCACGGATGGGCTATAAACTATTTGTACCTCTGGCCAATTGGTAACGCCTTTTATGGGAGTTTAACCCGTTTAGATGCATCAATGAGAGTCTGAACTTCACCGTATGATGTCAAGGAAGATTGTGAACCTTTGTATGCGAAATGAAATTTGTGTCAGCTAGATATACTAAAACGACTCCTTTTGAATTCAAAAATCACATGTGAATACTATTATGGTAAGATTTATTTGTATAAGAATATATTTCTATATGAATAATTAAAAATGGTACTTGAACTTGTATATGAATAAGAAAATACTTTGAGATCTATTTTTGAACTATTGAGGATATGGACCCAATATTGTTAATATTGAAAATATACATTTTGGATTCTATATTTGTTTTAAAGTTTTGATTTCATAAGCTAAGAACTCTGTTTCTGATTGTTTGTTTAATCATTCCCTACCAGTTGTTTAGAGTACTTGGAAATGCCCCAAGTTGGTCTCTTTTGCTTCTGCTTGTGATATTTGGATGTCATTTCTTTAATTATAGTTAGTCTACTGCATTTCAAAAAAAAAATAAAATTATGGTTAGTCTACTTGTTGAGCTTTGTGTCTCACTGAATTTTGTTTTTTATTTTTATTTTTTTGTAGATTAAGCTTAAGATTAGTTTGGATGTAAGTTTAATTGATTGACAAAGATTTGCAAGAAAGCAATATTAGATTTAAAAAGGAATATCCTTGTTATTTGGGATTAGTTCTTATAATCTTGGAGTCTCCTTGTTATTTTGGAATAATTCTTATAATCTTGGAGTCTAAGCTTTTGTTAGAGTGTGAAAAGGATGTATAATTCCTTATAAATGTATGAACATATCCTTTTAGCAATTACATGTTAATTTTAAATAAATTGATACTTTAAGGCATTTTATTTGGAATAATTTGTGACTTGGGTATGTGTTAAGATGTTCTCACCTTGAATTATGATTATGTTGTGTGTTTGGGGTGTCATAGTATCTTTGTAGATGTAATTTTTTATTTCTCAATCTTTGTAGATGTAGTTATCGTTATTTTTCTATATTACAAATTTTATTAAATAAAAGTATGTTTGGAGTCAATGACGATTTTAAGATTTTGGATGAGGGTGATTAAGAATAATTATAAGAGTAATCATCTATATATATATACACACACATTTTTACATATAATAATAACAAAAAAAAAGTTTGAGAGGCGATGACCATCAATATCTGCCACCCCTTGGAGTAGATTTAAGATCAATCTATTTTAGTTGGAGCTCATAAAGTTTTTAGTTGTTTTAGATTGTAAGTTGATTTTAATAAAATTCATTTTTGAGATTTGAATTTAAATAATGTTTAGGTTTCATTAATTGATAGTTTTCCTTTTGACAAAAAATTTAAAAAAATACGAAAAGGAAAAATAAAAAATAAGTAAAAAATAAAAAAAATGTAAAAAAAATAAAATTACTAACCAAAATAAAACCTTAATGTGGAGGGTAGAAATTAATGATATATATCCTAATTTGTTTCAACTCTAAATGGGTTGAACTAACACACAAGTTGTAATTTAAGTTCGTTTGATGAGAAAAGAAGGTTGGTGCCAAAAAGTTGCACACAATAAAACCGATATGGAGTAGGGGATTACCAAAGTTATCCACCATAAATGTAGCTTGAACCCAAAAAATGGAAATCAAATAAGAAGGAACACAATATCTGATCTGATCAATCCTTACTTTCTTCTATATATTCATCTTGGAAGAAAGAAGATACAAGGGAGATTTTGGCGTTGCTCGACTTCAGTTATACTGTGACTTGAAATGACCAATACCGTGTTATGAAACAAGACGCAAATGCCTTTGTTTACTTGTGTAACAACAACACAAGAAACAGCTTGCCTGGTTTACAGCGCACCATGCTAACTTTTGTCAAAGCACGTGCTCTGTTCAGTCTCGGCAGCTGCAAAAGCACCCAAGTATTGTTATTGATTATTATAAGTTTATTTATAATAATTAGATTATTACAAATTAAAATGATTGTGAATTAAATTAAATAGTATTATTATTATGATTATTTTATTCAAAAAGTTGGATTAAAATTAGGGATGATTTGTTTTTTAAAAAAAAATTATTTTACATGGGCTGTTGCTTGACTTGTCTTCCACAGTGGGCCCCTTTTATCTGCAACTACTTAAGTAACTCAACCCTTTGCTCTTGTATGCAATGCACCGTCCTTTCTCCTTGCAAGGATAAAGAAACCCTCAAGTATTTATTATTGGCTCACCTCCCTTCCTGCCTCTTCTCTTTGCTTTTACTGAGTACTGACATTAAATGGGAGGCAGGTTTTCAGGTTTCACCTCTAATTTGAACCACCCTTTATTTCTTCGATTTATGATTATTTTCATATCAATATTAGAATCATTTCATTTTTCTTAATAAAGTCTCAGTATATTTTAAGGGGAAAATGTTAGAAGAGATGACAGTAATTCATGAACTGGCTTCCATTGCAAAAGCAACAAATTCTCCCCGCAAAATGAATCAAGTATTGCTTTTGAGTCTCCACATTAATGAAGATAGCCTATAATTTTGCTAGATCCCTTGATAGAAGGAAATCTATTTTGTCCCCACTCATCCTCATCTTACTTTAAATTAGATATACAGAATAAACCTCTTTCGCACTTGAAACTACTCATAAATAGATCATTATAGGATCCAAAATCATCCTCCACTATTTTGCCTTACTTTTTTTCTTATATAATTGAGGAAAAAAGATTTTAAATCTTACTATTTAAATAAAAAAATACATTAATTAATAAATTAAATACTTGCATGTATTTTTACCTCACTTTATTACATGAAATCCTTTTAGTTATGCCTTAACAACTTTTACCATTTTTGCCTAAACAACTTTTATAAAATTTTTATCCTTTTTTTCCCTTAAAACTACTGCATAAATACTATTAAAATCAACATTTTTCCAACAATTAGAACATAAAATCTTAATTAAGAAATCTCATATTGGATCTTGGAGAAGCAAGAGAAAGAGTTATTCACATGCAAAAAAAAAAAAATCAATTTTGACACTTAAAAGACAATATGGATAAACTTATGAAGTAATTATCATTTTAAAATGGAATTCACCAATAGCATTATTCTCAACTGCAACACAGCAACTGGACCACTTGGGGTGAGACTTCAGATTTGAGAATAAAAGAATCATTGTTGATCTTGTTCATTTTTCTTGGAGGGAGTTGGTGAAATTTTATTTGCATATTTTTTGTATTAATATTAATATATTTGGTGAAAAACAACTAACCAATTTGAGAATTAGTGATACAACGGGCAAGTGTCAGTCAGTCATGGCAAAGACAACTATTGTAATCTGTATGAGCGAGTACATGTGAAGCTTCCCTTCCCAAGTCTCAACTTTGCTCACATGACATTCCCTATTTATACCCCACACCACACAAACCACCTTCTTCAGCCAAACCCCTCTTCCTTCTTTACTTCACATTTCAATCTTCTGCTCCTCTCCTTGTTTTTGACAATTTTAGGAGGGGTTTGCTTTATAGCAAAAGGCCATGGCTAAACTTGCTGCTGCATTCCTCTTGGCCCTCATTGCCATCTCCATGCTTCAAACCATGGTGGGTACCTTTCTCTCTCTCTTTCTCATTACATGGAAATGTTAAAAGCAAAGTTGCATGAAAAGAAGCCAAGAACAGCAGTTAGCAATTTCCAGGAACTGACATTTCCTCTGTTTTCTCTCATTGTAGGTCATGGCATCACATGGACATGGAGGCCACCACTACGATCAAGTAATGCTACATTATTATTTCTTGTTGAAGCTTTGAATTGGCTTTTTAACTTTTGTCAAGAAGTTAATTCTCACATTCTGTTTTCTTTTTTGTTATTTTGGTCATTTTCAACTGCAGAAACATTACGGCCCTGGAAGCCTCCAGAGCTCCCGTAAGCAACTTTAACTCTCACATTTTCTTTTGTTTTCTTCCCCAGCTAAAAGATCTGAACACAGAAAAACACCCATATTAGAGAACTGAAAAATTAGCTTGACAAAATGAAGAACTTGGAGCTTTTCTCTTTGTAATTGTTTATACCTTGGATGAATTTGACAATGACTTGTACCAAATCTTTTATCTTGTCAAACCAGTTAAACCATGGTCAAAACACTAGGTAACCACCCATACTTTGCTCAGCTTATATAAATATCTTATTCCCTTTCTTGAACTTGACAAGTGCTCCAACAAGCAGAATGATAAATGTTGTTTTGACCTTTACTTTAATGAAATGACCAGAATGCCCAACACAGTGCTCGAGGAGGTGCGGCAAGACCCAGTACCATAAGCCATGCATGTTCTTCTGTCAGAAGTGCTGCAGGAAATGCCTGTGTGTGCCCCCAGGGTATTATGGGAACAAAGCTGTGTGCCCTTGCTACAACAACTGGAAGACCAAGGAGGGAGGACCCAAGTGCCCTTGAAGAATCTTCTCCCATTTTCCACCCTTTATGCCTATTTCCTACTTAATCAAGTTCCTTAATCATAATTAAGCACTCGGTTGCACTACTGCTAACTATATATTTATGTTTTGTGCTTTTGGAAATGTGCTCGATTTTGTACCACTTTGTCACTCCATGAGGGTACCCACCCTCTAAATGAGAGTGGCTAATCTTTGTTCTATTTATGAATGAAGGGGTAATTCAACAAATCTGGTGCCTTGTTGGTAATGAAAAATCTAAGATCTTTTACTTCAAAGCAAATGAAAGATGGAATCGAAATATAAGATCACCATTTGAAGATTGGATTAAGCAAATCAATCAAATATCCATCTGGCTAAATCAATTATTGGGGTACAACCAAAAAAGGCAAGTCATAGTCCGGGGACTGGAGCAAATTGAGTGGAACCAAAAATGATAAAATGAAAACCGTAAGCACATGCCAACTGACCCAAGATTGGTGGGGGTAACTGGTGTTGCAGGCTTGTCAGTGTCCATGCTGGGTCGTTTTTCACCTTTCAATTAGGACCAACAAAAATGAAAAATCTTGCAGCTTTGGACAGACAGAAAGCAAAAGTTTTCTGAATGATCTCCGCCCTACTTTGCCCTGAACTAAAGGGTGGATTTATTCATAGTCTTGGAATATGGAACATGGTGCTATCATTTATGTTTGCCTCTTGGGGCATTTGAGCAGTTATTTTACTTGTCTTTTGGCTGTCATTAGGGAGGCATTGTCGGGTAAATTGAACTTCTGAATTTGGGCAAATTTATAGTATTGAGTTTGTCCATTGGCTTTTTTGCTCAAATCTTATCATCTTTAGAGCCATGAGGTTGAATCCAATGGTGCAGTCCAGGCGTTTATAGAAGAAATAAAATTACAGTACAACTTCATTCCTCCATGCAAAGCCTTTAAACACGAAAAAGTTGAAAGTTTTACCAATAGAGTTTGGTTAAATCCTTACATGTACTAAGGATTTATCTAAATCTGTCAAGGAAAACAAAAAAATGAGAGAAACCCTATGATGTAAAAAACCCAGACTGTGCTTTCCATTATTTTTGTTCTTTCACATTATTTTCATGGATCTTAGAGCATTTGAGATCTGGATCTAAATTTTTCTGCACTTGCTCACATCATGCATAAATCCTCAAAATGGCAAATATAGAGGCCTAAGTGGTGGGGCCCTTGCAACAAGTCAAAAGCCTAGGTCTAATCTCTACTTTACGTTTTGTCTAGACCTAGAAGCCCACACCTCATCTTCTCAAGTGCATTTTTGATAAAGCAGTTACATGGTGTAGCCTTTTAAAGCTACAATATCATGATTATTGCACTTTTGTGGGGTCCAGGGACTTCCAATTTTCAATATGGAACAGAAAGGATCCCGCCCCTTTATGAAAATCTCCTTACTATATGGGCCTAAGCCATAAAATCCAAATGGAGACATCTTTGTTCCTCCTTGTTCGTTGAACCATTGATTTACCACAAGTCATTAAAACATCCTTCAAACAGGTTACAGGTCCATCGGCTTCGATGGCTGCAATTCCCTTATATTCGTTTAGAAATAAACATCCATTGCATTGCAGCAAAGGCACATAATTTCTTCAAAGTCTACACAAGCATTTAGGACAATGCTGCTATGCTAGATTAAGGTAAGAACTAAATGATCTTATTCCATAACAGCCTGTCTACTCTACTGCCAAGTCCAGCAGCTTATAATGTAAAATTTTAGAACTGCTGAGGCATATTTTCAGATGTTGCTGCTACATTAAAGCCGGTGTGTATTCCCAGTAGTTTCCCCCGAGTTTATCACAATTGAAATCTCTGCCCTGGCTGACCCACCAGTTTCCTCGTTTACAAAATAGTGTATACACATCAGAAAACATCATTGGGAAACCGATTCTGTGAAATGTAAAGGATTTGCTATCATGAAAGATGAACCAACATAGGTCTGCTTGCGGCTGTTCCAATAATTGACAGCAAAAGATACGATATAGCAAGGAACCAGCACCCCCAAGACGACCTGTTGAGCCCTCAAAATGTGTCTAACTTAGTATGCTGGGATACAATTAAGTAAACAGACATGAAACTCTTAAACTCAAAATTCAGAGAAGCAAATTTTGATTTCTGTCTTACGTAGAAGGAGCTGGAAGATTCGTCACTCTCATGACGCTGATCAGTAAAGAACGTGATATGCTTTATGAGCAGAATTGTCAAGAACTGCATGCCAAGAAGTAAAAATGTAATGCCCATTTTTCAATGCCAAGAGCAGAGCTTAATGAACTTGATCATGTGCTAGGAATATAAGGTAAAAGCATATCCTACATAAATTATAGATAGATTTTTGGTTGAAAGAAAAATATATTACTCAGAGCAAGTTTCATAATTTACACATTTGTTCATAAGAGAAGAACAAAATCCATTGAATAACAGCAAAGCAAGATCACATCAACCTTGGAAGTAAAGAGTAATTAAGAAGCTGTATGTAAAATGATGAATTTCTTTTGACTTTTACATTTTTTTTTGGCATTTATATATGCATTTTCTATAATACTATTAATTACCAGTACTAGTTGTAGTCAGTTTTAGGTCTGATATTTGTGTTGTAAGTTGAACTGAGAAGCATAAAGCCTTACAATTAATATTGCTTTTGGCCATGTTGTGGCTCCATTTTCAGTCTCATGAGTTTCATTGTTGCATTCATCAAATTCAGCCTCCAAAAGGCGCTCAACATCTTCTGATGAAATTAACTCAGCTGATTGAAGTTCTCTTGGAATACCAGGAACTGTCAAGCTCTCACTGTAGAGGAAACTCCAAAAATGGTTTATCAGTATAAACGCAAAGTGGTAATAGAAATAACTATATGGTTTTTGGTTAACAGCTTAGAGTTTGATTATGGAGTAGCATCAGCAATAAATGGTTATGAAAGTCTCTGGTTAAGCTTCAGACCTAAAGTAACATACAACAATTTTTCATGATGGAAAAGCTCACATGCAAGATTCTTTTAGGTGAATTAAAAGCTTGTATAGAAGATTAAACTTGCCTTATGTTAGGCAGGGTATTCCCAGCGTAGGGCAGAGGGACTGTGTAACCTGATTCATACCTCTGCTCAAACATGAAAATAATTAGATGTATATCTATAGCTCATAGTTTCTTCTATTAAACAAATTGGAAGTAACAAGGGGAAAATATTAGGCACCTGATGGCAGATTTCACAAACTATGTTTCCTTTCTCATTGCACCATATCTGAATGCATTTCCTATGGGCAAACTGGGGAGGAAAAGAAACAAGGTAAGGCATGTTTGAGTCTCAGGACTGAAACCTGAACAAGAATGCATGACACTCAACATAATGTGACGTTGGATTTTGAACACCTTGAAAACATTTTTGTAGTAATTTGTTTTAATACAAGAAAAAGACCTTGTCATTTAATTTGGAGTCCTTGATCTTGTCAAAAATACCTGTAATTTTGGTCTCCTTTAGTGTCCCCGTGCAAAAACGAAAGAAACAGCTGGTTTTTGAGATTTCTTTAGCTGTTACAGACTTTGTACAGCAGCGTAAAATTTAATTGAAAATCTTTTCCTAACCCTTTATGGCATGACATCTACTAGGAATAAATAATTATTAGTAATAATTAATGTTAATTTCTATGAATCATAATAAATACAAGTTTTATGCTTGATAATGGCAACATATGATTCACTGATAATATATAAATTCTATACATCGATAATGTATTAAACATTCGCTAGAGGATGTCCGGGGCCTGCTGCAATTGGTGGGATCTTGAGGGATTGCAGTGGGGAGGCTAAAATTATCTTCTCCAAAGCTCTAGGAGAGGCTGATTCTAACTTAGCAGAGATGATGGCAGTGAAGGAAGCACTTTTGATTTTTTCTGTTTCAAGATGGAATGAGAATCACAAACTCCTCATTGAGAGTGATTCAACCAATACCGTCAAGTGGACAAAGCGTCCCAATTCAGCACCATGGAGAATGAGAAAACTGATTCTGCAAATGGAGAGACTGAAAGTTGAGGTGAAGGATTGGGAGATTAGACATGTTAGAAGAGGAGCAAACCAGGGAGCTGACACCTTAGCAAAGGAGGGTGTGCAACTCCAATTCGAGATTTTGAGAACCTTCATGTAAGCTTTCCTTTTTCTTCTCTTGTCAAAGGTGATTTGTGTTATGTTGGAGTTAGCCTGACTGAATGAAGAAGGGATGAAAGATGGAGTGGCAGAATTCAACTTGAGTGAATGGTTGAAGTAGGGTGAATTTATTTTGTGAATAAGAATATTGTGCTCAAAGGGAATACAGAGTTCCCTTGGGGCGTCCTCCGTTGTTTAGAATAACTAGGTTATTTGTAGGCCTTGTTTCTTTTTGCTTGAATCCTAGATTGCTTTTAGGTGTTTTTTGTTTGGTTTTTTTTTTAAAAGTAAATTTATTGATAAAGTTTCTTAAAAGAGATAGCAAGCTAAACAACTTTTAAAAAAAATAAAAGAATTTTCACATATAAGGATTGACAAACATAAAAAGTAGTATGACGTGTGAACAAGGAAAGTGAAATATTAGTACATTTAAAAATTATCTTACTCAACGAGAAAAGTCTAATGGATAAATTTAATAAATAACAAACCCATGCTAAGTTTTAGAGGAAAGATCCATTTCTGGTGACTCAATAAATATCAAGCCCCTGCTTGATTACTTAGAGATTTATGTACATATTGTGAATTTTGGGTTCTTCTCCTGTATGTTTTATTGTTTGTTGGTAAGATTGAGGTCTCCTGGGCGGATTATGTCCTTGTTTGGGGTTCTGTTGTTCTTCCTTTTCTTTCGATGCTGGGTTGATGGATGTTGTGAGTCTCGGTTCTAAGGGATATTGGGCTGTGTCAATTTCTCCCAATTTTCTGTTTTCTTGGCATGATCTGAACGAGGGGTAATTCCCCTCTCATTTAATGAAATTACTTTATGACTTTCAAAAAAAAAAAAGTATTAAATATAGACTTATAAATATTTAATAACTATAATTTCATAACATCTTTTTCTTAAAACATAAAAATCTAAAGTTTGAATTTTTTTTTCATATAAAAATACAAAAAATTAGTATAGTTACCTTAATAGTGCCCTTGCAAGCACAAGGGGCTTCCAACTTAGTGATGAAGTCCACGTCATGGCAAATCCGGCATTCAGTTTTCTCACCAAATTCTTCTTCTTCATCTAAGAAGTCAAATTCATCCTTGCTCCAACCATTACTCGCCTGGAACCAGGGCAGCTTGCGAGGTTGCCTGGTCGACGTTGAGCCTTCCTCACCATATGGCTCCGGATGCCCTGGCTTGGATCCGAATAAGGCTGGACCTGGAGCTGTCACCAGGTGGTGATCACCACACAGCACAAGGTGTTCACTCATTCTCTCCAACCTGTTTCCAATTCTAGTTTTCTTAGCAAACAAACAAGCAATGTGAAGCATGAAAAACACCCAAGGATCCATATCATCAAACTCTTTCTTTTTTGGGGTTCACGTACACTTACTATTCTTTTCACCTAGCCATCAAAAAATTTCCAGAACAAGGCTATTGAAACGAGAACCCTACAAATTAAAAATCTAGCAGTTCTTATATATATATATATATATATATTAAAGTTCCAATATAGAAAGAACAACATATGTCATGCATAATCATGAAAATGAACGCACAATCACAATCGCCCCACCTACCAGTCACCAAAAAAATGACACAAAATGTTAGAAAATAAAGTCAACCAACAGACAGAAATAAAATTATAAGCTTTATATATAGAAGAATACTATATACTTTGGATATACAGTACCTAAGCTTTCTTCTTCTTCAATCTGCATTTCTTTTTCTTAGGGCAAAAGACTTTCGTTGGCTTGAAATTATAGACTGATCATCAGAGCAAAGCCCTGGGGTAGGATTCGTCCTGAACTAGCCGTGCCAAATTCATGGCTTGGCAGTGCAGTGCCAGCACAAAACATGAGTTATACCATTTGTCAATGGAAAGTTTAGAAAAAAAAACATGAAGCTTTTAGTGAGACTTGTACGCGTAGGAAGGCAGTTTCTGCCTCATAATTACCCTTTTGGCTGTACTTTTCTTCTGCTAATGGCTTCTTGTTTTCATGTGTTTTTGCTCGTACTTGTGACGGTTAGGAAGGTTTCGAGTATCCTCATTCAAGTTACAAAATTGCCCTATCTACTCAAAAACTTTAATCTAGGTTTGTTTTTTTTTCCTAATTATAAGGTATATGGAAATGTAATTCATTGGAATAATGGTTTATTTAGTATGAACATCTTTCCTTGAAGGACTAACAATTCAAACTTTTGAGAGGAATCATTCCTTCAGCTTTTTCTGGTACATATAACTCTCCTTCTAGTTATAGCTCATAATAATAGTAATACTTTACTGAAAAAGGTGCATTATTTTTTTTTTTTTTCATTTTGGAAGGTTGATTTGAAATGGCATTAGTAGCCACGTTTATCATACTCATTTTGCCCACAAATTCATATGTATAAATAAAACTTATATCAAAGTGTTTCGTCAATCAAACACATAATAAAAAAATATTAGATAAAAATTATATAACCTTGTAAAATTATAAGTTTTTGTCGCGTCTCATTTTCGTCAATAAATAAATTTTTCGTATGAATTAAAATGCATGAAGTTAAGAATACGGCAAACTTATTAACTTAACGTCTAAATATCGACAAAATTTTACTTTTAAAACAATGATGATTGTACAACAAGTAAATTAGAATACTATTTTTGCTTGCCTTAATTACCAATGCAACATCAATTACATGTAGCCGTGAGCATTAGTTGGTACTAACGGAATAAATTGATTTAAATCAATCAAATTTAGTTAATTCGATTCGATTAGTTTGGTTTCAGTTCTACTAGTCAATTAGTTCAATTGAATCAATTAATTTTTGGAGTTTAAAAACGTCAACTATTGGCGCAAATGGAGTTTAGATAGAATTCAAGAAATTTTCAAAATTAACTTCAAGATGAACTTTTCAATAGACGCTATCTTTAAGACTTATTTAGCTACTATCGCTTGGTATGCAAAAGGGAATTATGTGAATAGCCTTAAGGATGCAATGAAGCTAACGTCTAACTTCATCTTACATTTTAGAAGATTAAATCACTAGATACACCCAAAGATTTGCAAAGTTATTTGGCCTTAGAGCCTATTTTCTGCAGCAAGTACATTATAAACTATTTAGACTTCTTTGGTAGTTGATAGGAACTTAAATATTTATGTTAATTTTCAGAACATAACACTTCTTTTGTTTTTAATTTTTTTGCTCTTATCTTGTTTGCTTTTTTCATATCAAAATGGTTGGTAACAAGTCCTCTATATAGACTTGCAAGTGTCTCTTCTCAAAAATATAACTTTTTCATCAAGGCAATTCTTTGTCTTAAATATATTTTTATATTTTGCAAGAAACAACTTTTGGATAATGGTATTATTTCAATAATAATCTTATGAAAAAACAACTATTTATTCCCTAAGGCATAATCTTTGAGCTACAATACGAAGAGATAATTTTTCATTTCAAGAAATAACCTTTTATTTAAAAAATATACTAACAAACTAAATTGATCAAATAACTAAAGTTATTAATAATATATTATTTGAAATATAATATACATATATATATATATTATAATTAGGAAAAGGGAGATTCGAACCCTACTCTTTAGATAGGAAAATAATACACCAACTAATGAGTCAAATGCTAGGGTGCAAATATGATAATATAATATGTGTGTGTGTGTGTGTTATAACTTTTTAACTAAGCCTAATATATAATGTTTTGCCTCGTTATAAGGTCTATGTAAATATAATTCATGGAATAAAGGTTTGCTTAAAATGAATAATTTTTCTTGAAGGAATAACAATTTAAACTTTTGAGAGGAACTATTCATCTAGATTTTTCAGTACATATAACTCTCTTTCCAATTATAACTCATAATAATAGTATTTTACTAAATAAGGTGCATGTTACCATTTTTTCTTTTTGGAAGGTTGGTTTGAAACAGCACTAATAGTCAAGTTTGCCATACTCATTTTGCCCAAAAATTCATATGTATAAAAAAAACTTATACCAAAGCACCTTCCCAATTAAAAACATAATTAAAAAATGTTCGATGAAAATTATATAACCTTGTAACATTACAAGTTTTTGTTGCGCCCCATTTTCATCAATGAAAAAGTTTTTCATATGAATTGAAACAAGTGAAGTTAAGAATATGACAAACTCATTAACATAATGTCTAAATTCTGATAAAATTTTACGTTTAAGACAATGCTGATAGTACGACAAGTAATAAGACAATGATGATAGTATGACAACTAATATTACAATACTACCTTTGCTTTCCTTAATTGTCAATGTAACATCAATTATATGTAGGGGTGAGCATTAGTTGATTTTAAATAAATGAATCGATTGAAATTGATCAAATTTTGTTAATTCGATTTGATTTGTTCAGTTTTGGTTGTTATTGATTAATTAGTTAGGATTAATTGATCGATTTTTGAGGTTTAAAAATGCTAATTGGACTAATTGAATATTGAACCCATTAATAATATATTATTTAAAATTGTGTGTGTGTGATGTGTTAAAATTTTCTAATTAAACCATAATTACTTTCCCAAACCCAAATCCTGATCCTTTCCTCTACGAATTTGCCTACTACCCTCCTCTACGACTCTATGCTCATTTGATGAAGTTGAAAGGGCTTATAAAAACAAAAATGAACCAAAAATTGAAAGACTTAATAATCTTTTAGTTTAGTTTAACAAGCAGAATCTTTGAGGTGACTGTTATATGCCAAAGCCGACATCTCTCAAAAAGCAAAATAAAGAAAAACAAACATGTTTTGAGAATTCTTCTTTAGAGTCTAGAAAAGGCTTGAAGAGAGAACGAGGATTTTTTAAGAAGGTTAGATGAAGAAACTATTGAATCGATAATATCCAAATACCAAGAGTAGCACCAGTAACAACACCAATAATAACACTAACATTTCTATTATCACATCAAAAAAAGTTAGAATAATGTCAAAAATAATATAGTAGACAACTAATGCCTTGACAACAAGAAACAAATGATGCGTTAAAGTCAACTGAAGAAAGTGTAAATTAAAATAAAAACAAGAAGAATTAAGCCAACATAATTGACACATGCACTATAGTTTAGTAACAAATCAAGGAAACAATGTCAAAACTAAAGTTAAGGGATTTGTTTGATTTTTCGTAGATTGTATTTGTATTTTCTTACCGTTGAAGAGTTCCTTTACTTAGAACTCTCCATCAATTGTAAAGTATATATATACAGAAGTGAAGAAATAATTCTTCACCTCAATAATAAAAAGGCAAATAATAGTTTAACAAATTTTCTTTCAACTGTTTCTCTCTTATTCTTTCTACTTATGTTGTTTTTTTAATATGGTATTAAAGCTTTGGTGAAATCTAATTACCCTCAACCTTCTTTCTTACTTTTTCTATTTCTTAATCTTACTCCTATTCCTTCTATTCAACCTACTCGAAATATTGGAAAATTCAAACAATATCTTTAATTTGATGTTTCTAAACAATTATCTCCTTTGTCCACTATCCCATTCATCTATACTCTTCCACTCCTTGAACTTAATTTTCTTACCTTAGCCTTACAATAGTTTACCCCTTCTCATCATTATACAATGACATCTTTTAAGTAACTTTACCTTTTTATCTCAATGTTGAAAACTTTGTTTCCATAAGCCTTTATCAAACCAATTTTCTTCTCCATAAAACACAGATTATGTGGCTTATTGAAAGCCAAGATATGCTTGGATTCATTGATGGAAATTGTCAGTGCAATAAGCTCAAATGTAAAACGCCAAGAGGGATGGATGAATTGATTTCTTGAAACTTCTTTGCAATTTTTAAAGAAAATAAATTTTCTTTTTGAAACAAGATTGAAATGCTAAAAGCTAAATATATGAAAGAAAAGAACACAATATTTTTATAAAGGTTTGACCTCATTACCTATATATTTTCCCTTAGCTTATTAAGAAATTTAAAATCCACTATGAAAATTCTTTTTTCAAGGTTCAAGCAGAACCCTCACACGAGTATTTTCAAGGATGAGACTAAAACCTTTCTAGCTTTTACTGGGGTTAAGGTATAATTGCAAAACACTATCTTTTAATGGTTAAGGTATTGTGAAATCCAATTTTTCATATTATGAAAATTAGGTGAAAAATTGAACTTTGATTAATTATCTATGAGAATTCCTTGTCATTTGATATAAATCTTTTTATATTATTGTGTTATGTTCATGGATGAATGACGATGGAAGGAATGGTTGAGAAAAAAAGTAACAAAAATGTATTTTAGCAGGTTTGAAATTGAAGGATATATCCCCAATAATTACAAGTCGATCCTATGGTAGAAAAAATGAAAATCTTGAAAAAATCATAGCCTTAATTGATGCTATAACAGAAAGCATAAGGTTCCTGAAGAAAACACAACCATAGTAGACTACA